CGATCGACGCGTTGGCCGCCAGCACCCGCGAGTCCGCGATGTAGACGCCGTACTTGTTCGGGAACGTCGTGTTGGTCCCCTTCCAGGCCGTGATTCCGCCGCCGCAGCTGCGCAGCGAGAGGGTCGACTTGGAGATGTCTACACGTGTCAAAAAAAAAAGAAATGCGTGGGTTAGTCTTAATCGTCACTGGCTATCTAAGTATTCCGGGAGAGGGTTTTTCGAAGGGGAAAGTTTTACGTACTAGAAAACAATTAGTGATGCCAGACATCGCGAGAATGTTTTAAAAAAAAGAGTGTTATAGATGGGTGGGAAAACACGCTGACGTACCATAGTGTCCCAAAACCATAAAGGAAGTCCGTCTCCCCGGCCACCACCACATCGTAGAAGTACGCATTACCCAATTTCCCTATATACACCGTGTCCTGGTAGCTGTAAAAGCCGCACGAATAAAAGCCCGCGTTGGCACGGCTGACGCCCAGCGCGTGAGCAGGCCCGTCGGAGTACTGCGTGTATTCGTTGCGGAAGTCGATGTTATAGGCGCGGAAGTCAGTGCACCCAAAAGGCGTGTCTTCGGGAACTGCGAAGCCCGTCGGGCCTGATCCCGTTAGTGTTGCGTTCAAGGTTGGTCCAACGGTCAGCACGCCGGTGAACGCGTTATCCGTGAAGACGGCGTCGTGGTTGGCCGAGTTCCAATAGACCTGGACCTCGTTCTCGTGCGTAGTGTTATAGTCTATGTCGGCGTAGTGCTCCTGCAGCCAGGGGCGGTCTGACGCTCCCAGGAGGGTGAGTGGTCCTGGGCGCGTCACGTTGAGTTGTTCTACGTAGATGCCGGGAGAGATCAGGATAACGTAGGGAGTTGTGTCATTGGGTAGCGAGGCGATAGCGCTTTGTATTGTCTGAAAACCTGCTCTTCTGTCGGACTGGCTGACGTAAAGAGTTTCCTGAGGGCAACCTTCAAGCGGATTTGACGTCTTCTTCTGGCATTGGCTGTATGTTTGAGGTGTTCCATAATTCGTGATGCTTGTGGCCAGACCGAGACATGGTATCATCAGAAGCAACAAATACATTAACGCCATCATGGTGGTGATGTCTGCATCGGTCAGAAGCCAAATATACAGCAGTCAGTTCTTATTCAGTCCCTCGATGAGATGGACAGCTAGAAGACGAATGGGCTGTTATACATGGTATCAAGATCCGAAACGCCCAATTATTCTCAGCCACTCCTAAACAGTCAATACAGTATCCTGGCCAAAGCTACAACAAGGACCAGAAAGGATGTAATCTCGACCCACCTACGACCCGATGTACCCCTCACGCACGCTCAATTGGATGCTACTGTAATGAACAGGTTACAATCGTTGGAGTATCGAAACTGGAGGAATCCAAGTATTTCTACTGGTGGAACAATTGCGATGACATTCAGCTACCTGGAAGAGAAGACGCAGTCGCTATCTGTTGCTGATCATGGAGCAAGGAAAGTTGTCCAAAGCACGTCGGTCATGATCTCGACTCTCGCCTCTCGATAGCGGTGAAGCCACTGCACGATGCTACATCCCCCGCAAAATCACAAATCACTATGCGGGGAACACTTAATTAAGCATCATAGACAATTCAGTACCCCGGCTTCCCCAACAAACCCCATGTCATTGTTCCCCAATGACGATGAGATCAGCTCCTCCTCCGGCGACCCAAGCCAACGACTACAAGCTCGTTCCACTGCGCCGGGGACAAGCTCGCTATGATGTACCCCGTCATCCATGCTTTACCGAGCATGCAGCAAGCCGAGTCGAGAGATTCACGGTGACGATCTGGCTCAGGGACAAATTGTGACTGACGGAAAAATTGTACGAACACCAATAGCGTCTACCAGCCCCCCGGATCGACATTTGGAGAAATGGAGAACAGAGGAAGAAACTGATGGCTGTCATCAGGAAGCTCAATAAACAGCCCTCACGTCCTACAACATTTTCGTCGCGTGGATGGACTATTGGGTTAGCCTCCAGAATTCAAGAATCTAGGTCGGATTGGAAGCCATGAACATCATTAGGAGCGCCGCTATCATTGGGCTTCTGGCCACCGCGGCCACGCCCACAGTGGCGAGCCAGGGCGCAAGGAGGACACCGATACAGCGACCCAACACACAGCCATTCCCTTACCACAGCGGCCGTGTGAAGCGACCTTCACCTCTTCGATCGAAGCAATGCTTCGTTGAACCCGCGCAGGAGGGGGGAGACGACGCGCCGGCCATCTTGCAAGCGTTCCAAGACTGCAACTGCGGCGGCACCGTCGTGCTCGATGCGAACTACACCATCGGCAGCCCGCTAGACCTGACGTTTCTGGACGCCGTGGACGTCGCGCTGTCTGGCGCGATCACGTTCAGCTCCGACATCGACTACTGGGTGGCCAACTCGTACAAATACGACTTCCAGAACTCGTCGAGCTACCTGAAGATCGGAGGGAAGGACGTGAACATCTTTGGAGGCGGGGTCGGCCTGATCGATGGCAACGGACAGCCCTGGTGGGACGCCTGGGCCGAGAACGATTCCTTGCTGCGACCTATTACAGTGGTGATCGATGGACTGGAAGGGGGCTCGATGACGGGGATCCGCATGATCAACCCCCCGAATGTAAAGACTCACTCACTCATGCGAACCCACCCCCCCCCCCCCCCCCCCCCCCTTTCTCCCTTACAAAGCAACAGGTAGCGCATTCTGACTGGCCAACAGTGGTTCAACCTCATCGCCAACAGCTCCGACATCCTCGTGAGCGACATGACGCTGGTGGCGAGATCGGCCAACGAGAACGAGGTCAAGAACAGCGACGGCTGGGACACGTACCGGTCGGACAGCGTGGTGATCCAGAACTCGTACGTCGACAACACGGACGACTGCGTGTCGTTCAAGCCCAACAGCACCAACGTGGTGGTGCAGGGCCTGGTGTGCAACGGGTCGCACGGCATCTCGGTCGGCTCGCTCGGGCAGTACGTCGACCAGTACGACATCGTGGAGAACGTCTACGTCTACAACAACAGCATGGCAAACGCGTCGGACGCGGCGCGCATCAAGGTCTGGCCCGGGGTCCACTCCGAGCTCGAGCCCATCCTCAACGGGGGCGGGGGCGCCGGCTACGTCAAGAACGTCACGTACGAGAGGTACGAGAGCACCAACAACGACTGGGCCATCGAGGTGAACCAGTGCTACGGGCAGTCCAATCAGACGTTGTGCGAGCTATACCCGGTAGGAAGAGTTCCTGGCTGTCTATCCCTCTTCCCGCCATTATATATATCGACACCAAGGCACATACAACCATCATAACATACCTAGATACACAAGCTAACCAGCATTCGCTCAGTCCAACATGACCATCTCCGACATCTACTTCATCGACATATGGGGCACGACATCAGACGCCAACGACCCCAATGTCGGCACACTCGTGTGTTCTTCACCCGAGGTGAGTCTAAAACTATCCCGTCACCAGAACAGCAAGAGCTTCAAAATGTACCTGCTACACAGCAGGACAATGACGTTCGTTGGCTGACTTTTTTGACTCCCTCCTCTACCTAGCAATGCTACAACTTCCACGCCAAGAATGTGTCGATAACGTCGCCCAGTGGCGGGAGCCAGTGGATCTGCGCCAACTTCGATACGAGCGACTTGGAAGGGTTTGATTGTGTCGCGCCTGATGAAGGGTAGATGAATAGAGAGAGAGTCCAGATATATGTCAATAGAGCAATACAATACATCTGTGCTGTGAGGGGGTCTTTAGACCCCTCTTGACCTTTATCATGATTGCCTCGTCGAATTGGTGGTAATTGGTGACAGCGAGGGCGTGAAGGGTGACCTCCGGGTGGTTTAGCTGTACGTACAGACGCTGATGGAATCCATACCTATGAATGAAGCAGCGTACCTATGTGGAGTGTGTACGATATCTGCATCACAGAGTATCATGGAGGGCGCATTTGCCAAGCGTCGCGGGGTCGCGGTAGTTACGCCCTACCCGTAGAGGAATGAAAAAGTCAAAGCCGGGCCCTGATCGATTCCATCTTGACCAGGAGACAAAGAGTCAAAGACTTGAAGATCATTATTCTCAGGAGATCATCCATGATTGCCATCCGAGATGGCAAATTTGTGTAGTCCGAACGTAACGGATTACCCAATAGCCCAGGTCGATTCACTGGCGCGTTGTCTGGATGCGGAGGATCAAGCAATCAAGTGCCGGGTAGATTTCTGCAAATGATCATGACTGTTTTACAATCGGTGAGCATGCCAAAATGCGACAATGCGCGAATGGGAGAAGTGGTCGAGATAGTCTCTCAACAACTTAACACCACCGCCCCCCCCCCCCCAAATGCACACAATGCCGCCGCAGCACCGGCGCGCTCTTCTTCGCCTCTCACCCCGTCGCCCTCAAGAATCTGCATTACCTGACCGCGACCGACGTGCTGGAAACTTCGAGGCTACCCCGAGAGGGACGCGGGTCCGGATTCGGATCCGTAATAGCCAATGTTTCTGGCGGCAGTGTCTGGTGCAAGAATGAGATCAACGGTGCCACTAACGGTATGAACGGGAGGGAAAGGGGCACTGTACCGAGCAGGCGATTAATCGTGATGATGGGATTCGGGTGTGGGCATTTTTTCTTCTCAAGGGCTATTTGACAGAGGTCAGCGTGAGATAGACTCGAAGATGCGTGTGCCTGCTGTCAATCGACTAGGTTAATCCCAGGACAAAATTGGAAGCCTTGGACCTCTCAGAAACCATGATGATGCACATAGGAAATGCACCACCTAATGCATCAAAGAGTCAAGTCAGTCTGGCTGGTTTCCTTTCCCTCCAGGTCCGAGAAAAATAAGTGACGCCGAGTTATAAGTTAAAACCCTTTCATTTCCTTCGCAAAACCCTTGAAAACTCCCCGCACCCACCAAAATGCAGCCCCTTTATCACAAGGCGTCAAAGACCGACAACCTAGGGGGAAGATGCAAAAAAACAACTATGTTCAATGCATCAGGGGGGAATCGAACCCCCGGCTCGTCGAGTTCGGAAGATGGCAACGACGAATTTTACCACTAAACCACTGATGCTTTACTGATTGTTGGCAAAAACTCTGCTGTCAAACATCATATTACTAAATCGTACAGCGGGAGCTGCAGCTACCGGAGAGTCTAGGCCCGGGCTGCTTTGCAGGGGTTCTCATGTCACCCAGTCACCCTGTCCAACTTCATACTCCATACAAACTCTCGATCATATATGCAAATGGATATGGATTCATGCATACACGAGAATGACGGAGATTTACAGCAACACGTGCCGGCGGTTGGCCAAGGGGTTGTATTAGATACAGCATAAAATCGACTTCTCCGATCCATGGATGCTGCTTGGAGCTTCGGGCCGTGTGTGGGGGGCCACCAGCGATAAGTACTTAAGCTCCGCTTCAGATAGATAAAGTGGTGAGAGCACCAATTGCCAATGTTAAAAAGAACCTCCTCAATGCAGTTGAGTCGCATTGAGTATTCGAATTAATTCACTGTACCTACATAAATTCAGGGACAGACCTGTACTTCCTTCAGGGAATCTTCTCATACAGCCGGAACTCGTTCTGTTAAATAAAGCCAGACGTGGCTGTACTGACCGGGACCGGGCAACTGACGTAAATATTCACCATCCCAGACAGAACGTGCGGGCTTCTTTACCTCATGGGAGATGCGGGATCTCACCCTCCGTGCCCCCGGCCCTATTCGCGCTGATCTCTCTCATCGCATTACTTCGTACCTTAATCTATCCAGTAGGTAACAGCAGTAATGAAAGATTATAAGCGGGTTCGCCATTTCATTTCGAAACTCGGTAGCTTGGGGGAAGAGACAGAGAACCAGCGCCCCTTTTTATTAATTTATATGCCATCGGAGAATTCTCTTCCACCCTTCTTCGCTGTGACCCAATTCCAATTCGTGGAACCGTAGAACCGACATTCCGGGGAACGGAAGTTTGTTTTTCTTTATTACTTCACAGGTTATTTACCCTCTAACTTACAACGATCGCATGGCCTGCGACCCATCTTATCAAATATCGATCCAACTCGCATCATTGGGCGGGCAATCGCGCCATATATCAGGTCCCCCATGGGAAATATATACCATACCCGAACCGCTCGACGGAGGGACCTGATGCGGTGCTAAACCCTCCCCGGCAAGTGATGGTGATGATGATGATGAAAAATGATGCCCGGCGTCGTCTCATCCCAGATGAGCGGACGGGCATGCAATGCAATGAATGCCGTCATGTCAATGAAGACTCGATTTCATATATAGTATCTAATGGAGAGATGATAAATAAATAAAGAGGGTGCCTTGTCCCGCACACACACACACACATACACACACTTCAAGCGTGAGCTCATCAGCCAGCCAGCTACTCGCCCACCACCCGCCTACTTCCGCCCTAGATCAGTCACGAGACAGAAGGAGAGGCGCAAAAAGGGAAAAAAGAAAATGAAGTCTCACATCCTCGGCAGCGCCCTCGCGGGTGCCGTCTTAGCCCAAGGGGCCGCCGCCGCCGGGCTCAAGTGGCTCGGCATCAACCTGTCGGTCGCTGAGTTCGGGACGGGGATCTATCCGGGCACCTACGGGACCGAGTTTACGTTTCCCGACGAGACGGCCATCACGGTGAGTCTACTATCTACCCCTTACCCCTAGAAATGGACGGCAATTCAAGGAATATATATCTGTGGGGGAAACAAAAGCAAGCGAGAACTATAAACTAACAATCAATCTCCCTCCTCTCCCCCTTCTTTTTCAGACCCTCATAGGCCAAGGCTACAACATCCTGCGGGTCGCCTTCGCGATGGAGCGGCTGGTGCCCGACGAGCTGACGGGCGCGGCCGACGCCGCGTACCTGGCGAACCTGACGTCGACCGTCGACTTCATCACGGCCGCGGGCGCCTACGCCATCCTGGACCCGCACAACTTCGGCCGGTACTACGGCGAGATCATCACCGACGCCGCCGGGTTCGGCGCCTTCTGGACCACGCTGGCGACCAGCTTCGCCGCCAACGACCTCGTCATCTTCGACACCAATAACGAGTACCACGACATGGATCAGGAGCGTATGTGGCATTCACTTTCTTTTCCCTTTTTTTTTGTCGTATCCCTGAGCTGTGTCCCTATGACTTCCCGTTTGGCCCAACGAGACTCACGCACCTACTTCCTTCCTTCCAACTGACCCGCTCTCTCTCTTCCTCGCGCAGTCGTCCTCGACCTCAACCAAGCCGCCATCGACGCGATCCGTTCCGCGGGCGCGACGTCGCAGTACATATTCGCCGAGGGCAACAGCTACTCGGGGGCGTGGACGTGGAACACGACGAACACGAACCTGGCGGCGCTGACCGACTCCGGGCCGCCCGATCTTCTCGTCTACGAGATGCACCAGTACCTCGACGCCGACGGCTCGGGCACGTCCGACGTGTGCGCGGGCACCGAGATCGGCGCGCAGCGCGTCGCCGGCGCCACCGAGTGGCTGCGGGCCAACGGCAAGGTCGGCATCATCGGCGAGTTCGCCGGCGGCGCCAACGCCGACTGCGAGGCCGCCGTCCGCGGCCTGCTCGACCACCTCGAGGCCAACAGCGACGTCTGGCTCGGCGGCCTCTGGTGGGCCGCGGGCCCCTGGTGGGCCGACTACTTCTACAGCTTCGAGCCGCCGAGCGGGACCGGGTACACGTACTATAACGACATCCTGACCGAGTACGTTCCTTAAGGTTGTGCTCGTGTGTGGCTTAGGATGTTGGGGCAGCGGCAGCGGCGGTGGCGGCGGTGGAGACAGACGGGACCAAATTGCGCTGGTTTCGGTTTGGGGAGATTTCTTGTTCATATATTTCATCGTCGTGATGTGACGTGTTGCCCGACGGTGTGGGCGCTTTGCTGTACATAGTTCCAACGTAGTGGTACATATTCTCTTCCCCCCTGTCACCAAAATCCCTGTGACTCTGTATCCATTTCTATCACTCTCGCCAGTTTTCTTTTTCAGTGGGTATATAATCCTGGTTTCGCGGCATATCATGACGGAATTAACATCATAGCTCGTCGATAAGGTAGGGGAGCGTATGAAACTTTTCAGCAAAATCGATCCGGGACTCGCGATACTGTACGTGCTCAGTGGACTACACCAGTCCTACGAGGCGGTCGACTGAGTGAAGTAGAATCCTTTGACAACTTGTAGAGTGACCGTCTGGATCCCCCAAATGGTTCGTCGTGAAAGGGGATCAGGAGTAACTCCTAGGTCGAAATTTTGATCAAACTGCAGCGTAACCACCTGGGGAGCTTCCGTGATCCTCCATATCCATGGAGTGATCTGATTCGTCAGCAGTATCTTCGCCATTTGCCTTAGCAACTGTTGCGGCCATGTGCTCTCCGAGGACATGTACAGGACCGTCTGTTACCGTGGGCGATCAGCGGGCGACTACGACGAGGAGTCGTGCATAGAGGTTTGATGGAGAACTTACAGAACATGATGGCCACCCACTCGACGATTACGGGAACCCAGGTGGCAAGAGCTAGCACTTGTCCAAACGACCATTCGGAGTCTTTGTCAGTGGTCGGCGCTTTTTGGTGAACCGACTCCCTGTATTGTACGAACAAGACGAGAGTCGCCCACATAAGAGCACAACACAGCACGGCATTGGCATAGCGCAAGACGGGTCTCAGTCGGTCCCACCACATCAGCAACTTTGCACCATGCGCCTTCCATAATCTTGGAGTCTCAAAAACCTCATACCTTGCACGTAGGAATCTTCGTACAAGTACCATGCCTCCTATGAGATAGTGTATTAACCAGAGAAGGTTCAGGACGAGAATGATTCTTGTAGCGTAGATAGAATAATCAAGTCGATAGAGCTCTTCAGGGTTGGTGCAAGCATCTAGCCATATCAGCTCTCTATAGTAGCGGTCGGTGCGAAAGTCAAACTTTGGGAGCGTGTCCTCCATCGACCTCAAGGACGCAAGAATTCGGTCGTCTTTTGCAGTTGCGTATTGGCACATGACAGCGAAGAACAAGGCCACGACAACGAGCCAGAGGATTTGCCGGAGAAATCGCCGACGTAGGACATTGGCAACACTTTGGAGGATGAGGCATGGGAGGATGGTGTACGACGACATCACCAAAGAGCCGACTAGACGATAATAAGAATAGTCATCCTCGTCATTGTGACCCCTGATGATACCGCACCACGGTCGAGGCGAGCATAGCCCCTGAAAAAATTAACGCCGCGTCGAGGAAAATGTTGACGGTCTCCCGAAATGCCTCCAGGAATCGAGGCGACTTTTTCGATTTGACGAACGCGGGACCAAGAAAAAGAATGAAGAAGTAGACAGTCGATAAACCCGCAGCTTCTCCTAGTCAGCACTATGCATCATGTCGACGTGAATGAACGCGCGGACATACCGAGATAGTAGGAGCCCATCATCTGAATAGTGTCAGTTGTTTGTCACCCAGTGCGCTGACAGCAGCAGAGCGCCTGAAGATCATCTGGATGAGACTCACCCCTCGGCCGGACACGTCTGGATCGCCTTCAACACCCATCTTGTCACAGATCTGTTGATCGCACTCGAAGAAGCCCAGGTAGCCTATTTGGTCCAGAAAAGGGTCAAAGTCGGGATCTATGGCTGAGTAGGTCTCATTCAGCCAGGCATGGTGGAACCACAAAAGAAGCTGGTCCAAGGTTGGCTGTCCGCCGGACCAATCTTGCGGGATGATGCTGTATAAAAAATGGACAATTTTTCCATAATCGCCTATGCTGGTCCGATGGCCATCCTCGTCGTCCGCCACGGCCATCAGTTGGTCAGCTAGAAAGTCGGTGATTTGGTCGCAATTGCCAGCGCTCGTGTTCAGTACGGTGAATGGTGGTGGCGTCCAGACAGTAGGAATGGATAGATTGACCAAGGCCCCCATCTTGACTACCTTAAGTCAAGCGGGCGATGGGTATTGGCGATTTCTAGAATGGAAACACGGCTGCAGCTTGAACGCGGAAGAAACTCAAGCGATGCCTCACATCTAGAGCAGAACTGCCGTGAAAGCAATTGGAAAAAAAAAGGCG